TAATGAATGGATGAGGCTTTTTCCCTAAATTTATGCACAGATTATCTAAGGAAGACACAAGTCTACTTAAGACTTTCATGATACTGTGTTAAAAGCTTTTTTAAAGTTAAATAAGTTAACTAGCAATATCACATGAATGGTAATGGTTTCTTAATCTAGCTCTAGAAAGCTATTTTTAAGAGGGATGGTAGATTTTAATAACTATCTAGACTTCAAAATGTTTCCCAGATCCAATGTCCATTATTATTATTAGGACCTGACGTCTTAATGTCCAGCGCACTCTCCCCTCTGACTTTCAGAATCTTAATGTCCTTCAATTGGCTTCTCCATATGAAGGCCACCAAACAGACAGTAACTCGAAAAACACATAACTTGAAGGAAAAAAAAATCAGTACTCAAGAATGGTTCCCAATCACTAGCCCTAAAAATGCTTCTAATCTCTCTACAAATGGAAGGTTTAGAGCTTTGAAAAAAAAAAAGGTTTGAAAAAAGAAATGAAGAGGACAGAGGATGCAGGACAGAAAAAAGCAGTTTATTTGAGGGTGGAATAAGGAGGTCATACACAGAACTAATGTTTATAAATGGAGCATAAAAATATTAATACTCTTCACCTAAAACCCTAGTCAAACAGAAAATCTCTTGAACCAAGATGCAAGCACTAACTTGACTATAATAACTACAGTGTTACACTAACACTATTCACAAATAGTTTGAGCTAGATAAATGCTAAAAAGACAGTTGTGGGCACAATGGAAAAGAAGTTTGATGAAGCAGAAAGTGAAAGGAACTGGAGTTTGAATCCTAGCTCTACTAAACATGTAAAATATGTGGTCCTGGGCACTTAGGATCACAAATACAGAGGCTAAAAGGGACCTCAAAGACCCTAGTCCAAACTCCCTTATTTTACAATTAAGGAAACTGAGGCCCAAGGTAGTAATTGTGTCAGAGGCTGGACTTGAACCCAACTCTCCTGACTCTGAAGCTAGTGTTGTTTCCACTATACCATGCTGTCTCTGGCCATCTCTAAATTCTAGGATCCCATAAACCTAGCAGTATATCCAACACTATCACTAGGAGGTAATTCTCTCAAAATACTAAACTGTAGCCAAGATTCACTAAAATATCAGACCCAGTTTTAGAAACAGAAAACTAGGAAACACAACCCCTCAAAAATAAAAAGAATCAAAACAACATTGGATAAAACTTAAGGAGAACGTTGCTCCGGATCAGGACCAGCAACTTAAGTCATTTATCTTTGCCATATAACCCCATTCCGAAAATCACTTTCAAAACCAGAGTTAACTCTCTAACAAACTACCTCCAAAACCACAGCATGGCCAAGGACTGAAAGAGCTCCCTCCTCCCCCGCACTTTGTTTTACCTACTTTTGATTTTCCCCAAAATTTTATGAAACGAGGTTGAGGGGAGACTCAGTAGAGCACTTAGGTGACTACTTATGACCAGGTAAGCTCTCCAGCAATTTAGGCTGGGGAGTGACCCGAGTAGTAATGGATGGGAGAACCCTGGCCAGAGACAAAAATCATTATCTCAACTGATAAAGTGGGCTCAAAAGGTAGGAAAGGATTTAAGATAGAAAAAGGCAATACATTCCAAATGACACCAACACTTGAAAGATAAAGATGTGTCACCAAAGAAGATTAGGGGACAACAAGGAACTATTACCAAGATTCAGACACATTAATATCTAACAACCACAACAACAACAAAAACCCTATCTTGTACGAGACAGAACCAAACTACACTAATTTCTAAGTTTCTTCTAGGTACTGAAGACCAGCAATGTCCTAGATCTTATATTCACAAACACACAAAAACCTGACAACTTATTTTCTAAATGTTACAAAATGAGAACTTAAATATCAATAACTATTCATAGATACTAAATTTAGTTAGGAGAAGCCAGCAGTCAGGATTTTCCTGCACCTTTAAAAGGAGATATTGGTAAACGCAGATGGAACGTTCTTGGAGCAGGAGCTCCCAATCCTTTGCTTACACAATCACTGTTATCAAATCAGCTGGTTGAATTTGCAACCAACAGGCTTACTGGGCCCCTTAATGGGGCACTCACGTTCACCTCCATCTTGACTGTTCTTGAGTTCATTTTAGAAAATAGTCAACAGTCACTGAGAGTGCCCAAAGTACCCCAAATGTACCTTTTTAGTTTACTGAATGTAATCATACAGGTTAACAGTTCTTAATATTAAAGCAGTGGTTTTTCTAAGTGTTGTCCGGGAGTCCTGGGAGTTCCCAAAAACCCTTTCAGGGAGTCCTCAAAGTCAAAACTATTTTCATAACATTAGGATGTTTTAATTTCTAATATGGTATTTAGATGGATATAATCCATATACACAAAAGCTTTAAGAGAATTATAAAGAGATCCTGAGACCAGAAAGTTTAAAAACCACTACATTAAAAGATTGTATGTTACTTCTTTTATTTGGTATCTATACTTCAATACAGGACAGTTAGGTAACACAGGTGAATATAAAGTACCAGGCCCGGAGTCAAAAGACTCATCTTCACGAGTCCAGATCTGATCTGAGACACTTACTAGCTGTGTGACCCTGGGCAAGTCACCCTGTTTGCCTCAGTTTCCTTATCTGTTAAAAAGAACTGGAGAAGGAAAAGGCAAAACACTTCAGTATCTTTGTCAAGAAAACCCCAAATGGGATCACAATGAGTCAACACAACTGAAAAATGACTAAACATACTTCAATATTTAAAATAATTTGTTTATATGACTATTTGTCTATTTAATAATGCTACAAGCATAGTGTGGTGGAAAAAGCATCAGGTTAAGAATCAAACACCTAGGTTCAAATCCTAACTGTGCTTTGTGACCTCAGATAAATCACTTTGTCTCTGTAGGTTTGGTTCCTCATTGATTAAATGACCTCTAAGGTTCTTTCCAGCTCTTAATCCACTGATACTAAATACTAAACCAGAAAGCAACACCTTACCTACAACCTAAGTTCTTTACTATTTTAAATAATGACTTTAGGGATAAGTGGTACAGTGGAAAGAATGCTGCATCTAAAGTCAGAGGCCTTGAGTTCAAATCCAGATTCTACCACTTACCACCAGTATGACAATGACAATAAGCCAAGTCACAACCTCTGGGCCTCAAGTCTTCTCAAGTGCAAAATGAGAAAGTTGCACTAGCCCTTGAGGATCGCTTCCATTCCTAAATCTATGATCCTATGATCTTTTCTATTTCAAGAATAAGATTTCTAAAAAGTGGGGGAAATCACTGCTTTTATTAAAAGTTGTTCAAAAAGATTTTTTTCAAAAAATGCCATACACTGTAACTGTTTAAAAAAAGGATTACAACTGATGGTCACTACAGGCAAATTTCATAAATATCATCTACACTGATATGTTTACACTGATAAAGACAAAAGTTAACCATATTCACAAGCAAAATCTATAAAGGAAAATCTCACTCCACTACTTCAGAACTGACAGTAATAAAAAGTACTGATGCTTTTGAACCAAAAAAATAACTTCTTCCTTTGCCATTTTTCCATGTTTTATAGGTAGGGAGACCACTCAAATAGATTTTTCTTCAACAACATTCAAATTTAGGGATTATTTCAATTTGCCTCAATTTCTGCATCAATATTTATGTTCTAGAATTTCAGCTGCATTAACATGAAGTGCTATTTTTCTTTTTAATACCAATACACCTCACTTTAGAAGATGTAGTTATGTAATACAACTACACTTCTAAAATATCTTATAATTCACACCATGCACAAACTTTGGCCTGTCTTTTTCCAAATCAGTGACATTGTGTATTCATTACCAATTTCTTCAAAGATAAAAGCCATTCTTAACCACTTTATATATATTATTTCAAATTACCACATAGCCAAATGGAAACCAAAGTTTGAGCAATAGTTAGGTTAAATATGGCACTTAAGAAATGGAAATTCATTAAATTTGTCACCTGTCTCAACCACTAGCAGATAAAATAAACCCTTCCTCCCTAAAAAACATTCATATCCACATCAACCCTGTAGAATTAGTGATAGAAAAGGAAACTACATATGTAATTCAAAGGGACAATAACAAGTTTTTACCTAAAGAATATTACTGTTACCTACACATTCATGTAATCCTAAACTATGGAAACAAGAAATCAATGTAGAAAACACACTGGTAACTTCTATCTCTTGTTTTTGCACAGCAACCTACCTAGACATTGTTATGTATGCAAAGAAACCCCATTACTGCTGTAAGCTAGTCTTTTAAATCATCAAGTAGCAGATTTCTGAACCATTCTTTGGAATCCATAAATGTCTAATCACTTGGCTTGCAAACCTTTTCAACCAAAGCACATCTTCCTTATTTTCAAAATCAGTGTGGTTAAAATGCAAAGCTCAGAAATAGTAATAAATGGATAGGCTTCGATGTCATCAAAGAAAAGTTCATCATGCAAAATCAACAACATCAAAATATGTTTATAATGACTGGTAAGGACAGACTGCTTACCAAAACTCTGCTATGAGGTATGAAGTAGACTGAGTAAGTAAATTCAACTTCTTAGAGAATATTAGCATCTGCTACTAACTATCCATATGCTCATACTTGAGTTGTTTTTAAGGCACTGAACTACCAAATGGCAATACCTAAACTTGCATATAACTAAGCAATCAATCATCTGATGTTTTCAGATAAGACGGCTACAAGTGTTGTTCCCATTACGACCATTGGGCAAGAAAAAAAAATGAACTGTTTTCCTTCCTGTATTTCTCTTCTAGAGTGCAATACCTCATAACACTTAATTAGAACTCTAAGAAATTATTTTGAGATGTAAGGCCTTCAGAGTTAGTCATGTAATCAATTACTCTTGAAGTTGTAAACAATCTCTTGCACATGGAAAAGGCAAAAAGGTTCCTGACACCAACTTTGGAAATCCACTGCACTGTCACTGACTACAATCCTTTACCCTGGAGAGAGGTACAAGTCATCTTTACCTTTGTAGAGGTTGGTAACGGCAGTGGCTGCATTTTGGAAGGGAACCCAGAGGGAAAGTCCTTGCTGTTGACACACTCGATCTAAAGAGACATACAGACAGAAAAACAGGATTTTGGAGTCAGTCACTCTGAACGGCCATGTTAGGTTTCGCCATTTTGTTCAGGGGTTTTAGAGCCTTACAGACCGTGGGAAAGCCAGTCTCTGACCTCCTTATCCCAAGCCCTCAGGCCAGCGCTACAGGCCGCAAAGCCGCAACAGAGTAAACGCCCGAGCTCGACCCTGGGCAGCGGCCCCTCCCTCGGCCCCGGCTCCGGGATCCCCAGGCACAATAGAGCCGGCCCTTCCTTCGCCATTTTGTTGATACCGTCGCCGCCTCCTCCCCTTTTCCTAGATTTGGCAGCTGCCTCGGTGGCGATGTCTGCCCAGGCAAAGCGGAGGAGGACCCGAGCTTCCGGGCCGGCTAGGGATAACCTGGCGCCCACCGTCCTACTCCGCCCCAGCCCACACCCACCCGGACAGCCCCGCAGCCTTTCACACCACACCAAGAAGAGCAAACAACCTAGGGCGGGCGGCCCCCGGGGAGCCCAGGAGGGACCCCCCCGACAGGATCGCGGTGCGGAGCGCCGCACCTCCCCCTGCGGCCAGGGCCCCTCCCCACCTCCCCCACCCCCCCCAGCCCAGGTCCGAGCTTCGCCATTTTGGGGAAAGGAGGGGGGGAGTTCTCGGTCCGGGAGACCCGCCGGTCCCGTCCCCGGAAGGCAGGGCTTCCCCACCCCAGCCCCACCCCTCGGGCCCCCACCTAAAACGGGGCGGAGACCCGACGACCGACCTCCCTCCCCCACCCCTCCACCCCCGCCGGGAGCTCCCCCTCCCCCTACTCCCGGGGAGGCCGGGGTCAGAGGGGGGAGCCGGGGGCGACTGCGCCCCACCGTCCGGGCCCCGGGGCCGGTCCCCGAGCCGAGGCACCACCTTCCGCCATTTTGTGTCTCCCATCTGCTTCTTTTGGGGGGGCAGAGAGGGAGGTCTTTAGGGTCCCGGGGGGCGCCCCCTCCCCCGCGGCCCCTCACCTTTGTAGAGCTGGGCCACGGCGGTGGCCGAGTTCTGGAAGAGGTGCCACAGCTTCTGCTGCTTGTGCTCGGGCTGTGCGGCGGCCGCCTCCTCCTGCAGCTCCGGGGGCAGCTGCTCCTCCTGCTCGGCCTCGGCCAGGCACTGCCGCTCCCACTTAGTGAACCAATGCTCGGGCCCATGCTCCTGGATCTCGGATTCGCCTTCTTCCTTCTTATCCTCCATCCTCCTCCTTCCTCTCCGCTTCTTCTTCCTCCTCCTCCTCCTCGTCGTCCTCGTCGTCTGGCGAGCTGGCGGCGGGGCCCAGCGGCCGGCTGTTCTCTCTCCCCTCCACCCCGGGGCCTCCTTCACCTCCCCACCCCCCAGGCCCCGAGCTCACCACACACCCCACCCCCTCAGCCCCAGCCTGGCCCGCCGGAGGGCCGGGCCACTGCCCGCCAACCGCCGCCGCGCTCGGGCCGCTGCCGGGGAGATGAGCACTACAACTGCCGCTGCCTCACTCCCCACACGGCCCGCAGGGCCCGCTCCTACCGCCCCCCCATAGCGCTGCGGCCGCCTCAGAGCCGCCGCCGCCGCTCTCCGCCGGCTCCCCCACGCCCCTCGCTCACAGTCCCTGTCTGCGCCACGGAGCCCACACTGAGAACTGAGGAACGCGGCGGCGGCGGCGACGGCCGCTTCGCTTCCCCTCGTCTCCTTCCTCCCCCCGCCCACATGCTGACAGGAGAAGGTGCCGCCCACCTCTCCCCCTCCCCTTCTCCGGGTCCCACCCGCTCCGAGGCCCCCATTGGCTGGTCCCGCCTCATTCCGCGCCCCGGCCCACCTGATCCCTAGAGATGATTGGTGCAAAAGAGTGTCCGTCGTGACGTAATGAGTTTGGGCGAGGGGAGGAGGGTGGTGAAGAGGGAATGTCATAAAGGGTGAAGAGCGCAGGAGGGAGTGGGGGGAAGAGGGTGAAGAAGCAGAAGGAGGGGCTAAGAGTGGTTGCATCCGCAAAAAGAAAAAAAGAAAAAAAGCTATAAGTGTTGGGTGCGCATGCGTGTTTGTCTTTTGCCCGAAGCAGACTGGCAGCGGTCTCTTACCCTTAGCTGTGGGGCTTGAGCCAAGGAGTCACGTGTTTCGGTGCAGGAGCCGCGCCCGGTTGGGACCTCCTTTAGAGGAGGACCGGTTTTATCCCGTATCACTGGCTCCCAGGGCGCGAACCGATCTCTACCCATGGGTCCCAGGTTGCATCACGTCTCCTTTTTGTAAATCATTGTTTATTCCCTCTACCCAACACTAACACAAGAGCAACACCCTCAACAGCCCAGTAGACCCCAGCAAAACGAACGTGCATGCGTGAATATCCTTGGGTGACCTGGCCATCTGATAGTGAATCACTAAATATGTCTACTAATGGAAGCACAGAATCTTTAAGAGTTGGAAAGGAATTCAATGGTTATGTAATGTGATGACCCACCCAGGTGCAAGACAACCCCTTCTGTGGGCATCCCTGCTTAATCACGCACCCCACGCTGCCTGTCAGCTACAGGGAATTGACCGACAGCTGTAATTGTTTTTAAAAGTTCTTTTTGTTGTGCAAAGGTCTGGTTCCCACTAAGTTCCATTCATTGATCCTATTCCTGCCCTTTAGGGCCAAGCAAAACTTAATTCAATATTTATTGTTTAATGTCCATGGCATTCAATGGCTAGGTATTGGGAACATGAAGATAAAGAACGTCACGGTCGGTGCCTGCAAGAAGCATAGAATATTACTAAAAATTGAAGAGCCTTGCTTTAGGGATGAAATGTATACAAAGGAATGATCCACACAACAGGTTCTCCAAATATTTGAGAAAGGAGAAAACATTTGGGGGGAAGGGAGGGAGTGGAGAGGGGAAAACGATTCACCAAAGAGGTGATGCCTGAACTGTTCTGAAGAAAAGGGTTTCCACCTGAAAGATGGAGATGAGGGAATGCATTCCAGGCGTGTGGATGGCCTGTGAGAATGCTTATGGAGGTAGGAAATGACATGTCGAGAATAGCTTGGCTGGAATATGGAGTGTGTGACAGGGAGTTATGTAAAATAAGGCTGGAAAGGTAGGATGAAGCCAGATGTGAAGACCTTAAATGCAAGACTGAAGAGTTTGTATTTTATTCTAAAGAAGGGATTTTTACCTTTTTCTGTGTCATGAATCCCTTCGGCAGAATCAGGTGAAGCTTATGGAACTCTTCTCAGATTGTTTTTAAGTGCATAAAATAAAATACATAGAATTAAAAAAGAACTAGTGAAAATTATTATGTAATTTTTACTGTCCAAATTTACAAACACCCCTCCCCAGGTCCATGGACCCCAGATTAAGAACCCCTGTTATAGAGACAATATAGAACTGAAGAGGACTAGGACTTTTGGGGTGCTGCAAAATCCCCAAGATCTCAGTACCGAGCCCTGACCACTAAAGATTTTTGAGCAGAGAAGTAATAGGGTCCGCCCTGTGCATTGGGAAGAATATTTTGGCCCTTGTGTGAAGGACAGATAGGAGAAGAGATTAGAAGCAAAGAGATCAATTACCAAGTTATTACAATAATCTAAGTAAGAACTGAGGACCTGAACTAGATTCATGTTAGCATGAATGGAGAGAAGGGGAAGGCTATGAGATGATGAGAAGGTAGCATAGGAGAATTCAGTGACTGATCAATGGGATGTGGATATGAAGTAGGGGAGTAGAAAAGAATAACAATAATTCCAAGCCTTTAGAGTTTAGGCTACTGGGGAATGTTAATTGGTATGTTGAATCTGAGCTGCTATCAGGTGAAGCTATCCAGGAAGCAACTGAAACTGGAGGCAGGGAGGCAGGGAAGCAGGTTAGGACTGGTTACACAGATTTGGTACAGAAATGATCACTGAATCAGTGGAGAAAATATAAAGAGAGAAGGAAGGCAGATTTAGGTAGAGCCTTAGGAAACACCCACACTTAGTAGGTTGGATTAGAATGAAGGAAATAGAGATGAAGCAGTCAGACATATAGGAGGAAATAAAAGAACCATCACAGAATCCAAGGTATAAGAGAGTATCCAGGAGAAGGGGATGGTCAACAAATGCCTTAGAAAATTTCAAAATGAGGATACCTGGGGAAAAGGCATAGGATTTAGCAATTAAGATACTGGTTTTTGAAAGAATAACTTCAGGATAATAGAGACCATCAATGGCCAGAATATAAAGGATTAAGGGGTAATAAGGTAGAGATAGCAAAGGAAGGCTGCTCTTTCTAAGAATTTAATAGTGAATGAAAGAATACTGGTCAATAGCAAGGGGATAGTGGGGTCACAAGAAGATTTTTTTTAAGGATAAGAGAAGCCTGAATATATTTATAAGCAGCCAAGAAGGAGAAAGTAGATAGGAAAATATGACTGATGGGAATTAGGAGTAGATTGAGTAGAGTAAGTCAAATTCTTCCTTAAGATAGCCCCTCTGAAAATTAAATACAGCTATTATGACCCCCTATAAGTCTTCCCTTTACCAGGTAAACAGGTTCTTCCCTCCCTTCCCTCATCACCTGCCCAGAGAAGTACAGGGATTATTTTCAAGGGAGATGCAATTCTTTGATTGTAATAGGAAGATTTTATTGTCTTTTCATGGTTTCTTTTTCCTTCTAATGGTAATTGTTGCAATGGAAATTTCAAATGTTTGGTCTAAGAACTCTAAGATTAAGACCCCCCTCAAGATGGTTGTGAGGATCAAGTGAGATAATATATGTAAAATGCTCTGTAAATCTTAAAAAGCACTATATAAATGTTAGTTCTCATGTACATTTTTAGAGAGCTTCGATGGGGGCTTAAGGTAAGACCCAATGGGATCTCTACTCACTAAGAAACAATCATAAGTCATTCATCTGGAAAGCTCTGTCTCAAGATGTTTGAATAAGCTATGTGTGCTTAAATGGGGTTAGAGTAGGATGTATCCCCTAGCATTCTCCTTCCCCTGCTCTCTATTTTCCCTGTATTCTCCTTTTTTTAACTAATAAGTAGTGTGGTACAGTGGAAAGATCACTAAACAGAGTCAGAAGACCTGAACTGGAAACAGTCCTTCCACTTGCCACCTAAGCCACCTCAATAAGTCATTCAACTAATGTGTAATCTAAACTAATTTTCACTTCTGTGGAACTGAGGGGTTCAGACTAGATGAATTCTGAGGTTCCTCACAGCTCTGACTTTCTCTGATTCTTCACAGATCTGCCTTTCAGGTCTAGCTGAAGGCCACCAGGTCCTATTCCAAACCCCTTGCCTAACAATCATATACTGTTTTTAATATCTCCATTCAAGGGTTCATCATGCTCAACTGTATGTTAAAGAAACATCATATCTTTTAAAAACTAAAGGTTATATTAGGGAGATCACAGCAATGGCTGTGGTGTCAAAGGACCTGGATTCAAATCCTACCTCTGATGGAAGTGTGATCTACCTACCTGTGCAAATCATTTAGCCTCCTAGGCCTCAGTAAAATGAGATGGTTTGACCAAATGGCCCCTGAGACTCCTTCCAGCTCTATATCTATAATAGAAAGAAAGAAATAAAAATATATGCAATGTCCAGTCTTGATTTCAGAAGACCAATGGTAAAACAAACCTCTTTTCTATGGAGGAATGATGCATTTATACATATGCTGTCAGACCCCAAACCTATCACTGAATTAGGGGGCTATCTACTCCAAGCATGTGAAGACTTTTCCCAGTGGAATGAGTAGATGTGAACAATTTGTTCCAACAACCAAGAAGGTGGCTGAAGCAGGCATTGTGAAGTGCTTAGAGTTTGGTCAGACATCAAAGACACCAAGGTCATCATCCACTGTATCCTGGGCCATTACCAGTCATCCTGACTTTTGTCTTGCCACTGGACAACAACTCTGGAAGAGAGAGTAAGGCTGACAACTTTGTGCAACTCTGCCTCTCTTAAATCCAATCCACAGCAAGTCAAGACATCACCCTGTGGTATTAATGGTCCTCCTTTGAAAGTGAAGGACAAACAAACAAAAAAAAGTACTGTCGGATACCCTTATAAAGAAGGGTCTGGACTTGGGTAGTTGTTGTTGGGATGTAATAGTAATGTAACAAATGAAAAAGGGTAGATGCTGGACCTGTGATTTTATTGGTATGGGGAGTAATTTATGGTCTTAGAGTAATAAGTAAAACACTGAGAGGTCAAATTACTTGTCCAGGGTCACACAGCCAGTATGTAGCAGAGATGAGACTTAAACCCAGGTCTTCCTAGCATTGAGGCCAGCTCTCTATCCATTATGCCATGCTATTTCTCAACAAACAAACAAACAATATATAAATGAATAAGGAATTTTAAAGTAATTTTTTAAAAAGATAACTCATTTGAGCATTGGAGGTCAGCA